GGGAAGGGTCAGGGAAGGGCTGGGGAAGGGCTGGGGAAGGGCTGGGGAAGGTCAGGGAAGGGTCGGAGCCCTGGCCGGGGGCACAGGCTGCAGCAGGGCTGAGATCCCCGGGCACCGGCCCCGAGCGGCTGCGGCTCCGCACGAGTTCCTCCTCAAGCCCTGACCTCCAGCCACAGCTCTGCTCTGGCAGGAACAGAGCCCGGCAGGAGCCTCCAAGAGAGCATTTCTTTGGATCTCCTGCCTGTTATCGCAGAAAACTGCCATCGAGGAAATATAAGGCTTGCTGTGGTTTGTTTCTCTGAACAGGGTGGCATAACTTGGACCAATGGAACTATATTTCTAATCTTTCAAAAGGAGTGGCCTGGGTCTAAACATATCTTTTATATGTGGTGTTTTTTCCTAGTATATTATCCAATTGCAGTTTGGAGGCAAAAACAAAAAGGACTAATTAATCATAGGGGACATCTCTTTTTTAATTGCCATGTTCCACTCATGAGTTTTCTTAGGTAATTAAAAGAAAGATTCCAGAAATTAATATGCATAAACTGCAACATACGTGATGACACCTCCAGAAGGTATTTTCAGTAGATTTGTCTTCATAGACATGTTATTTGCATTAGCTTGTACAAAACTATTGTGAAATCATTCAAAACTGCCAAAAGATAATCCAAAGGTTTACAGAGCCTGGACAGTGTGCAGCAACATCAGGCTACACCAAACAGATCCTGTTGGTGGCACGTAATTCCTTGATATTTCTTCTTTCTGTTTTGTTTCTCAGTTTGTGTCGACTCAAATGGAAACTGCTTTAACAATTTCCAGAGCAAATCAAAGCCACGTTTCATGTGTTCGTGTCAGGGGCAGAACAAACATTTTTTGTGCTGACCAAGGCTTTTGGAGTGAATGGACACAGGATTGTTTCTCTGGTATGGAACTCAAAGAAAATGGTGTTTCTTTTATAACCTTTCTAAAACCTGTTTGGGTGCAAGTGCTGATGCTGCCCTGGGGATCTGCTGGTGTCCAGCACTGGAGGTGGGGTGCTGGCTTCATTCACCTTCAGCCTGCTCCAGCACAGCTGTTCCTACAGCTTTCATCTCCAGTGCACTTAGCAGGCAAGCCCCAAAATATTCCTGCTTCTGCAGCAGCACCTTTCCCTGCTGCACGGGGACAGCTGGCACGGAGCAGAGACTGCTGGGCAAGAGAGGGCACGGGGCACTTGCAGTGTCTCCACAGGGCATCCTCCTGGCTCTCCTGCACCACAGATGAGCTCCTTTGAGCCCTGCAGGCTCTCCTAGGCTGTCCTGTGTGCACTGGCTCTGCTGCAAGCTGCAGAAGGCAGGGGAGAGGCACATAGCAGTGAGAGAGGCACAAGCTGGAGGTGTAATACCCTGGAGGACGATGTGACCCCACCCAGTAACATATACCTGTGACAAATAAACAAAAACATGTAGGGTAATGTGGACAAGATGAGTTTGCACCTGAGCCCAAGCTTTGTAGGCGGTAATTTAATCTGTTCTAACATTTTCTTCTTTCCTGCCATTTATCTTCGCAGTGTCCACAAAAGAGGACAAGAAGCTATTTATCCTCATTCCAGTCATCCTGACTTTGTCAGTTAGCCTCATAATATTTATGTTGATTGGCCAGTACAAGAAAAGGTAAGCACCAAGGTAGCCTGTCCAAGCAATGTGCTTTTTTGTTGATGTCTGTAACTATTTATAACTACAGTTGTAACTGAAACGTCGCATTAGATGTCTAAGGGCCAAATATTAATAGGTGCTTTAAGATTGGACACCAAACAATAGTTCATTTTCAGTAAACAACTTTCCTGAGTGTGTCTGTTTCTGATATGAAATACCCCTACAGCAACCCATAAACTCACTGCAGAGACTCAAATACTGCTCATAAGAGCTCAGACTGCTTCTGTTAAATGCAGAAGTTACTTGCATGCACAGCAGCATAAATAAAGCTATTACCATGCCCCAAACCACTTAAGAGCAGAGATTTGTCCTAGCTGTGTTAAAGCAGCACCATTTTAATGGGATAAATCCTCATTCCTTTGGCACTCACAGCTGTTTACATTCATGCCAGTGATGGCACGAGGGGAAAGCAGATGAGTGGATGAATTTTTTACTGATGATAATTTCTTCAGGTGTGAGGGGTCACTTGGAGAGAACTGATCCCCCACAACTGACACCTGCTTTCTTTTCCTGGTGGCTACGTAGCATAAGCAAGCAGGAAGCTTTTCTAACATGCCTTTTAAGGCATCACTCATGAGGGAGAACTGTCTCTAGAAATACCCTGGTGTGGTCCCCAGAGACGAGCTGACACCTGTTTGGCAGTCGAATGCACGGAGTCCCAAACACAAACTCCTTCATCTTTGCTTTTCACCCACCTTCCAAATGTTTTGGTTTGTGAAATTCGAACAAAACACAGATGCTAGTAGAGAAATCTGTGGAAAGCAAATGCTTCCTGCATTGCCTCTGGGATGTGGCAATGTCTGACAGGGATGCTGGAGCATGTCCTCAGCCCTCTCAGCGCTGGGAGTAACAGTCTGTGTCCCTTTCAGATCCCCGGCAGGAAAGCCATTGCATGCATCTGTGGGATGCTAACTCTGCCTGCTGCACTGCTTGTGTTCGGTGGCTGCTCATGGAACACCATCCCAAACCAGCCAAGGAGCCCTGAGCTTACTGCAGCCCAGCTGGGCCTTCCCTGCCTGCTGCCACTTGTGAAGGCAGGTGTTGCAATCCCAGTCCTTAACGGGCTTAGGAAAACTGGAGGGGCTTAAAATGACTGCAGGAAAACCAGAAGAGATCCAAACTGACTCTGAAGCAAGGTGTTTCTGGTAACAGGACAAGGGAGAAAAAAGAGGCAGTGGAAACTTTCATGAATAAAGATAACCACGTTGTTCTGTGGGCTTGTTTGGGTTTTTTCTTTTGTAAGGACTCCAGAAATCTGTCAGCAGGACACACACAGTGAAGGGCAGCACCTCACACACAATGTGTGTGCATGCAAACACTTCTATCCAGCCCCTGTGCCCCACCTTACTCTCACCAAGTCTCCCCTGTTCCCAAATGCCCAGCTGAGCTATTTATTTCATCAGCTGATATGTCTTACCTGTTGAAAAGCTCAGGTGGAGAGGCCTTGAGAGAAACTTTTGCTATAAAGAAGCCTGACCACAGCTACTGCAAAGGACAGATGATTCAGAGAAGTGAGGGTCACTCCAGCAAATGTGATATGGGAATTTCTCTAGGAAGTAGACATTGGCACCAGAATTCAACCTGATGTTCCTCAATACCATGTGTAGTCAGGTGAGGAAATTGCTGACTGATTTTTTAGGAATCATTCTCTATGATGATGGTGATAGAAAAAAAAAATTTAGAAGTGTCACTGGCTGAGTTATTCTTTTCCAAGCCCATTCTGGGTTCTTTTAGCTTGAAGAACTAACCAAGGAAAACACAGGGGTTTAGTGTGGCTTCATTTCATCAGAACAATCCTGAAAATGAGTTTTCTTGAAGGAGTATTTATTCAAAGTGGGAATTTCTAATGAGCAGTGGAAGCTCAGAGAGAAGATCTAGTTTGTGTCAATCAGCCATGTAAAGAGCCATACTAATCCAATCAGAAACAATGCAGCAAGTGCTGTCTCACACATCCAACTGCAAAATTGTTCAATCACTATCAGCTGCTTCCACTGCTAAATGGGCAACAGCCCAATGTCATTTGGGGAGGAACCTAAGGAGGAAAGAACTGACTGAAGCACAGACTGAAGCAGAAAAGAAGTTTCATGGTTGTTGTAATTCTGCTGAGACGCAACCACTGTCTCTACTGTCTCCTGGGCAGCCACCATGGGATGGCTTTACTTTGAAAAATACCCAGTGAGCATGCACTGGGCATGGATTTTCAGGCCTCTGATGTTCTGCCAGACTCTCCAACAGTTAAAATGTCTACTAAAAACACGTGAGTGCATTGTGAATGTCCCCAAGGGAAAAAGTAGGGCAGGCTGTTGTACCTCCACAGCTAGAACTCACCCCAAAAAAAGATCAGAGCTATTTCAGTAACCACAAAATATAAAAGTTAGGCTGAAGCCTGCCTAGAAACCTGCCTAGTAACAGAGTGATAAATTAAGTACATCTACTTATGGTATCTGTACGCTGCAGCTTTACAGGAGCATTTAGGTGAGGAAAGCTGGGCTTGGCCCCTGTGCAGGGCTCCCTCCTCCCCAAACTCCCCCCTGCACAGGATCCTCAGTGCAGCAGCAGCAGAACACCTGCTTTCTCACAGTATCACATCTGAAGCATTTGCAAAATTCAGCCCTAATAGATGGCCACTCACCTTCCTAACATCCTGAACCTCACTAGAATTTCACTAGTGGCTTTTTTATCCCATGTTTTTAGAATTACACCAATGTATTTCTTTCACACAGTAGTCTCATTAGAGTGTTTTAATTCATTTTCTGTAGTCCATAATTAATATTTTTAGTAAAGCACTTTTAAAATCCCTCCTCTGCTCTTATTGTTCCCAGTTCATGTCTGGGTTCCACGTATTTTTACCAACTAAGCTCCACATGTTTGGTGAGACGTGTCTTTGTCTTTGCATACCCATGAGTTTAGAGCCTTCTTTCTGTCTTTCACTGATAAAGTCTTAGAGCCATTTGTTGAAGAATAAATCCAACTTTTCCTACACAGCTTTTTTCTCTCTAGAGAATGTCAATACTTGTCACACATACAAAAGCATGATCCAGTGCATGCTGCAGGGAAATGCAAAATCCATTTAGTCTGTCATATTCTAACTGCTTTTGGGAAGCAGCAAAACAGGGAAGACGAAAGCCAAGGTCCCTGAACTCAAAAATCACCCTTCTTCTCTCACTGAGGTATATTTTCAAGCTGCCAGCAAGAGAATAATTTGAAAAACATATCCATCCTCATATTTTTTAATTTTTCTGAGTGGCCTCTCAGTACAAGTGTTTCAACCACTATAACTTGCCAGTGGCTGCAAGACACAAAGCAAGGCTGGAATCTTGGAACATAGGAATTTCCACCTGAATATGAGGAGGAACTCCACTGCAAGGGAGAGAGAGCACTGGAACAGGCTGCCCAGAGATGTTGTGGAGTCTCCTCTGGAGACACTCAAAGGCTGCCTGGACACAATCATGACTAAAGCGCCCTCGGGGACCCTGCTTGAGAGGGGTTTGAACAAGATGAGTTCCAGTGTTCCCTTCCAGACTTACCCACTCTGTGATCTCTCAGGAGCTCTTTACTCCTTGTGCACTTGAGGAAATGAAAAGGTGGGTGTTGTATCTTACCAGCTGAGGCATCTCTGCTGAAATTTTCCATCTTGTGCAGGCGCTAGAAATCCCATGGCCACTGGGTGTCAGCATCTGTGCTTGGATGCAGAGGACATGGAAAGCAGGTGCAGCATCGGTGCCGCCAGAATTTGGTATTTAGTGCACGAAAATTAAATAGAGGGGATAATATCTCTGTCACATTAAGAAAAAGAAGTCTTGTTCTTTCTGTACTGTGAAGCAGAGACGTGTCACAGCTTTGCTCCATCGTTGGCTCTGGTGAGACTGAGGGGCAACATCACCTTGTGCCTCTTGGCATCATGACCACGGCCCAGTGCTGCTACACTGACCAGATCTGTGTCCCCCAGGGCATGTGCCAGCCAAAACCAGCCCCTGCCACTGCCCTCCCCCATGAGCAGCCACAGAAAGATCCCATCAGCCCTGACTGGAGGTTTGACTGTGCCCTGCTGTGTGTCCCTGCCTCGCTCTGGCACCCTGGGCCCCCGTGGATCTCAGCACCCATCCCTGAGCCATGGCAGCTCCAGGCAGTGCCCAGCTCTTGGAAGGACAGCACAGCCCTTCTGGCTGCAGCTTCTAGATGTCAAGGCTTTGGGACTGCAGTAGCTAATGATACAATCCAAAATCCAAAGAGCTTCACAGGCCATGGCAGGTTTGCAGCTCATTGCCTTGTGTGGCATTTGTTCATTTGAGAGCGTTGTCAACCTCTTTATTTCTATGTAGAAGCTAAATTTTCTCAGGAGGGTCTCTGGTTTTCACAGCTTCAAGGCAAGCAAATACAGCTGATGCATGTGCTTGACAGAACAATTTGAGGCAACATATTGTGGCTGAGCTGTCTGAACAGCTGAAATGGCTCTGCAAACTGTCTGTGTCAAGATACCCTTCCCAGAGTACAGAGAGATAAAACAACCAGCTGAAAAATGACAGACACCACAAGGCTTAGCCCAAAATCGAGGATTCATGTCCCTGCCATCCTGGGCTGCTTGCCTCCTATGTGGATCTGCATCCAGACACAACATGGGACTGCTACATTCAGGAAATTAAATCCCATTTCAGCAAGTCTCACAACATCAGATGCATTAAAAAAAAAAAAAAAGGGAAAGCAATTTAAAAATATTAAACATGGCTTTTATATTTCCTTTCTCGATGGGTCTGCCCAGGAAACAATGTCAGTGTTTAAGTGGGTCTCAGTCCAGGGAGAGCTGAGTGTGGGTGCTTCCTTGAGCTGGGAGGCTGGGTGAGCACCTGGCAGTGCTGCTGTGATCCCCGTGGTGCATGCACTCATCTCAGACACCGAGGACAGCCTGCACAGCACCTCTGACTTCTCTGAGATGCCAAATGAGGTTGCACTGCCCAGCCTTTGACGGGAGGTGCGGAAGGTTCCTGCAGTGGCAGTGAGGGGATCTGAGCCATGGCCATCAGCGATCATCCACAAGTGATGGGTTTTGTTTCCTTGCCTGGGAAGCTGTGAAGGGAGGTGACAAAGCCATGTCACACCTTTGGTGTGCTTGGATGTCCCACCTCGCCAAAGCACCAGCAACCCACAGGAGTTATTTTCATTTGGGAAAAAAAGTACTTAATATTATGGGGGTTTTTTACAAACCAGGGAACACCTTCCTTTGATGTTATCTAGATATCATAGTGAATTAAAAACAAAGGGTGGCAGAATACCCTTCACTGGAATTCATGCAGTAATGGAGAAAACATGCATAGCAAACAAGCATGCAGAGCCTGATCTTCCTGGGCATTAGAGCCTCCCTGCAAGGCTGCTCCTGGCCATGCCACCCACCCTGCATGGGTGGGTCACATGTACCCCAGGCACGGGTACCTGTAACACAAGAAACAGCAAACAGATGCCAACAGTGTGTTAAACCACCCAGAGCAACAGCTGTCCTGCAGGAGACACAAACTTCAGCAGCACACACAGATGTAAAGCTGCTCTAAATTTCAACAAATGCAGGCAGTGGTCTAACATGTAGGTGAGAGTAACGTGACATGGCTACAGAAAATTTACACAGGAGAAGGAAAAAGAAACAGAAGACACAGGATCCCATCCTGTCTCTAGGTACCCAAACATCCTTTGGACACTCACAGGTCTGACTACAGAGCCAGGGCTGCCCTGGGAGCTTGAGAGAGTCACTGTTCCAAGAGGTCCCCACCTGATGCATGAAACCCAGAAGAGAATAGTTCTTGGCTTTTATCTGATGATGTTCCAGCTCTTAACTGTTGAAATGGAAATACATCCCAACCTTTGGGGCTCTCATATTGATCTTGGCTGGGAGCTGCCCAGAACCTTGTGCCCGTGATGCCAATTTATTTAGAAACACTCACACTGAGAAGACAATAACCTTGTTGCCTGCAAGGTTTAGCAAAGTTCACTTTTAACAACTGAGAGCTTAAAAGGCCAACAGCACAATTTACTCAACTGAAGAAAAAGCATGAAGTTTCTGGCTGCAGCAACAAAGAGAAGTGTTTTTAAGAAGTCAGACAGTGCAAGCACAAAGCAGGCTCAGCCCTGAAAGCTTCTCACCAGCGTTTGCTCAACCACACCAGCTGAAGGCAGCCCAAAAGGACATTACCTCAATGTTGTTGCTGTCCTGAGCAGACAATCTCCAGTAACAGTGAATGGCAGTGAAAATGCTGTTGTATAACACAAAGGACTCTTACGTGCCTGCATGCAGCCAGGCTGGCTGATTCTGGATGCTCCTGAGAACGCAAGTGAAATATTGCTTCATAGAACTGGGGCTGGCTCAGGGCTGGGAACACGCAGCCTTTGCCATGCCTTGACTTCATGTTGTCCCACGTGTGGGAGATGCACTGACTTGGCATGGCCTCTCCTGCCTTCCTCCAAAATTGTAGCATTTTTCATGGCTTTGCTAGGACTTGGAAGGACCGTAGCCCAAAAATAGTGTTCTCTCTTGGGGATGTTTGTTCCTCCCACACTTTGGGACGTGTCTCTGGGGCGGTGCTGCTGTACAGATGGCTGGCTTGGTGCCTGAGCTCTGCCAAACCAGAGGCTGAGGACAAATGGGCCAACCTGGGCCCTCCTGCTGCACCCATGGGATAGATTCTTGTGTGAATGCAAGAGCTGAGCCCTCAATGAGCATTTCAGTTACTGCTGCCTCATCAGGAAGTGCAGTCCCAGACCTTGAAGACCCCAGCTGTTAGAAACCTGCTTTAATTCCTACATTATTTCCACCTTTTCTGTATATCTGTTCCCTCCTCTAGCTTAAATAGCTCCTCTCTCTCCCCATCTTTGGCTGCTAGGTGGAAAAAGCCAAGGTTTCTGCTCTCTTCTCATAACGGGCCCTGCCTGGCCATGTGTCCCCACATCATGCTGCCACCAGGGCTGCTGCTCAGGCCAAACACACAGTCCCATCCCATCCCATCCCATCCCATCCCATCCCATCCCATCCCATCCCATCCCATCCCATCCCATCCATTCTCTAAAACAAAAGTGTCAGCTGCCCACATACCAACAGGGAAGCATGTTCATTTACCCTCAAGGGGCAAAGATCTGCCAAAGGAAATCCCCAAGTCCTAAGCATGGTCTGCTGCATCCCTGTATGGCTGTGCTGCACAGGCAGTAATTCATCCCTGCACTTTGCTAAATGCCATCATGGGACAGCCTGCTGCAGGATCCAGGCACTTTCCTCTTCAGGTTGCCTAGAGAAGGTACAAGAGAGAGCAAATGCTCACTTCAGGGTTATCCTGCCTGTGCTCCAGCCTTGTGGCTGTGCTGCAAAAAGAAAAGGTGGGGAATACCCTCTTAGCTGAGACCCAGAGCTTGCCATGGGTGAGTCACTGAGACCTGTGGATCTTCTCTGGAGACACTGTGGGACATGAACTCCTGGTGCCTGTGGGAGAGGGGCCCCCAACAGAGCTGAGATCTCTGCTGGGCTGTTGCACTTACCTGTTGCTTTGAGCAGTGTCATGATCATTGGGAAGCACAGGCTCCACAGGAGAGGCACTGAAATCTTCCTCCCCAAATGTCACAGAAGATCTGTTCTAGCTGTCAGTCAGGAAAAAGATTAAAATCTTCAGTGTCTTTGATGAGAATCCATCACTGGCACCCACCTGTCCTTCTGCAAGAGGAGACATCAACATCAGGAGCACACACAGATGGGAAGCTGCTCTAAATTTTAACAAATGTAGCCAGGCAGTTACATTTGTAACAGGAACTAGTTTATAGATTTTTTTGTGTGTGTATCAGAAATTTAAATCACTCAAAATGCCACAATTAGATCCTATTAAAAATATACATTAGATAATCCAACTGTATTTTAGTAAAACATTAATTTATACAATTTATCCAATTCAAGCACAGGAAAATTCAGATCAGTGGATTTAACATGCCCTGTGTGGTGCTGCATGATTCATTTTTCAAGTCACCTAAGTGTTGGTACCCACCAGAGTCACAAAGGAGCAACCATTGTCCCAGGAAACTGCTGGGATAAATGCTGGGAAAATTGCATTTATCTGCTAGAAGATCCTTTGGTTTTTGAGAAAGCAGAACATAAGACAACATTAACGAGAGATGTAATACAGAAGAAGGATTGCTCCAGAGTCTCGATTTTCCACAATAATCTGTCACCCATTGCCTGTTGTGAGCACTCTAAAATTCTCTTGTCACCACCCCAGAGCCACCAGAGTTACGCGGCCTTTGTCACCACTGGAACTGGCCAGGGCACTTGCCAGGCCCCTCCACAGACCCTTGGAGCCGTGGCCCAGCAGGATGAACTCGTGCAACCTTTTCTGGGGTTGGAAAGGGTGGAGTGAACCCCCCTGGGCAGTGAGCTGGGACACGCTGTGCTGGGTCCTGGGACAGGAATCCTCCTGGAGGGACCATGTGGGAGATCTGCCTGGAGCAGACACCCTGCTGCTGCCACGCTCCCTCCACATGTACCCACACACCCTCCTGCTGTCACCAAACCTGGGATTTAGGACAGACTTATGCAAATTTTTACAGTGTGTAAAATGAGTGTATAGCTCATGCACTTGACTGTTCATTAAAGCTGTTCTGGTGTAGTTCTTTAACCAGCAAGTGTGTCTTGTTGCATTGTTTGTCTGTCTTGTAGAGATCTAAAATCCCTCACCTGAAGCCTCTCCATCTCCATGTTTTGGGATTGCAACATCCCTGCACAGCTAAGAGGGAATGGCACATTACATGGATGTTTTCTGACAGCTTCAGAGCACAGGCTCCTGTGTGTGTAAAAGCAAACAAGCAGAAGACCTGAGACTTACAGAAAAATGCAGGAGAGACAAAACAGACAATAACAACTTCACAGTTTAAACTGAAGAAAATAAAAGGTTTTTTTTTCTTGCTATGCACCCCCACAAACTACATTATCACTGCAACAGCCCCCATCTAACAATCACACCAGCAGGGATATTTGATGTCCCCATCACAGGTTTCCTCCCTAGATTTTCAGATACTCCCATTCTTTTGAGGGAAGAATAAAATGTGATGACATCTGTGGCTCTCTGGGGTCTCTGGGATGTGTGTGTTCATGTGCACAGATGTGTGTACACATCTGTCTATCTCTGTCCTTCTGCTTTGCCTGCACAAGGCTTGGTGCACTTTTGTGTGCCTTTTCCTAGGAAAAAGCCTCTGATGCCTTTTCTGCCCTGAAATGGAAACAAAGCCAAGTGCAGTTCTTGGCACGTAGCTATCCTAATGATACTGTGACACAGGGAGGAAAGCCATCCAAGAGACATCTGCTCCTTTATCACATGATGGGCTCTGCTTTTGGAATGCACAATTTGTCTGCCACAGTATCAGACACCCTTCAGTAGCTCAAAGTTAAATGGTATTTCTGAAGGGCTGATTGCAGTTTGCTTTTCTTCCTTAAAAGATGTTTCTTCTTTGGAATTTGTGTCTCTCCAGGGCCCTCGTGGCTCCGATGCCTTGGATGCTGACTGAGAAGGGCACCAGGCACCCTCCACACCAGTGATGAAACTTTTCACAGGACTCTCCAGAAGAAAGGCTCTAAGGATTGACACGAGTGTCTCTGCAGAGAAAACAGCAAGAACCACACTGTTCACAGTGCTTACTCGCACATCACCTAACATTTACATCTTTAAATCATCACTCAGATGAAAACTATTGCAGGCTCGCAGTTACTCAGACATTAAAGAGCCGTGCTGAGGTGGGATGCCTTAAGACTCCTCAGCATTGGCTCTGAACCATGTCACCTCCCAAATGCCACAGCCTCTGGGTAGCTGCTCTTATCTTCAGCAAGCACAGGATGGGAGGAGCTGACCTTCTCCTCAAAGCACAGACTGTGAGGCACACACAGGTCCCCAGAGCCACCACAGCTGATCCCCAGACCTGGCTGTGTGGGGCAGCGTGGAACAGATGCTCAGGTCTAGAAACCAGGCTGCCCAGCCACAGGGGTGTGTGCCTGAACACCAGAGCCAGCCTTGCTGCTGACCTCGGGCAGGGAAGACTGCAAGCCCCTACAGCTCAGGAAGAAGCCAGTTCTGACCTGGGCTGCCCCCAGGAGCAGATTGCCCAGTTCCACTCAAAGGGGGTGGTCTGTTTGCTGGGGCAGAGCCTCTGCGTGTGTGCTGTCCCATGGGCAGCCTGTCTGCACAGCTCCATCTGGTTTGGGAAACAAAGCAGCCAGCACATCTCAGCCTCCAACCATTTCCAAGGAATTCTCTTCTTCAGGCCAAATCAAAGCAAAACACCACCACAAACACTATTTGTAAGACAAAACCATACCTGAGCTGGGATTTGCAGACTCACACCAAGCTTCCAGCAGGTGTTCCCACAAGCCAGCCCCAGGCAGGGCTTCTGGAGGCACCACCACAGTTAATGGTTACATCTCAGGAGAAGCAAAGGAGCTGTGGGGACAACCTGACTTTGGTTAAGTTTCAGAGAACTAAATCAGTTCTTCAAACTCATATAGCTTAAAAAATATAAATTTTAGCAGTTGTTCCTGGAGGGAGCGATTTGAGGAGGGAGAATAGTCTATCACTGCTTTCACATTTCACAGTCTTGGGGTTGGGAGTGCTGGGACATCTGCTGACAGTGATTCCTGTGATAAAGCAGCTGTGGGCCATGCTTCAAGGATAGGTCCTTATCCTCGCTTTTTGTTATTGGTTTGTTTTTTTGGTCAGGACATATTTTAACTGGGGACAGATGAAAGAAAGAGAGGGCATGTTCACTTATTTATTTTTGGATAAACCATGAAAAAAAAATAATGAAGAATGACTAAATCAACAAACTTTCTTTAATAAATTAATAGCAGCATCACAAAACCCTGATGTGAATGACCCAAAGAAAGTTGGGTACGTGACAGTATTTAACCATTCAGAGAAATGTTCTCCCCTGCTGGCTGGGAGGAACACAGGTGCTGTAAGGCAGTCCCCTTGGCTCTTCATCCAAACAAGAGATGGACATCAGAACGGGTCCAGCTGAGGTTGGCATATTTACAGTTCTGGTGCTGAATTTTTTTAAAAATGCTTATAAAAATTCTGAAAATTCTCTGTTCAATTCTCATTATTTACATCCAAATATAGCAGGTTCCCTTTTTGCCCATACAACAGAATGGCAAGGGTGAGACGTGAAGGCTCCTATGCGAAGACAACGCCTGTGTGAACACTTACACTGAGCTCCAGGATGCTGTGGAAAAAGAGCTGTTCACACAACTTACACATGTGCTAGAAGCTACTGTAATTCAACTTATTGCTAAATGCTTTCAAAGTCTGTGGTTGGTTCTTAAAGATACGTATGTGTGTGTGTGTGTATATATATACACACATACACGTGTCTGGAAGAGATGTGCTATAAATTCACCCAAAGGGGAAAAAAAAATTAAAACACACTGTGATTTTTCTGATTTTTCTGTACTGTTTGAAATAATAAAATCTGACTCAGGGTAAAGGGCAGTCACTGAAGGTGCAAGTTTGTGTCTCTGGACAGAGGCTTTCCTACAGATTACGTGACCTTTTTCAAGAGGCAAGTGGATTCCCAAGCATTCAGGCCTGTGGTGGTATCTGCAGCCTGGCACAGGGAGCAGCTCTGCTGCCTTCTGCAAGCAGTGAGTTGCACTCTTGCACTGGGATGCCTCATCTGCCTGCAGGAAAGTAGTATGGATTTATCCCAGGAGGGGATGAAGGGGAAAAGATCTTCCACTTCAGTGCACCAGTCTGGGATCAACCCAGCAGCAGATACAACCCAAATGTTGTGTTTTAGTATTGACCTCAGCAAGGTTGTAGCTGCACACAGCCAGTGCAACCTCAAGCACTGGCAGAATTTTCCAGTTCTTCTACAAGTTAATTTTAATGGAATAAACACAACAAGCTGAGAGTACAAGCAATTCATGTAAATAAAATGCGATTTATCCATGCCCAGTGTAAGCTTCTCTGTTCTGACAATTATCTTAGCCAGAGGCTGTCAGTGATGCTAAATGCATCCATGTTAGATGGGCACTGCAGCATCTGTGTAGTAGTTAATGAAGATATAAAAACCTTATGGGTGATATCTGGCATCAGACAATACTCCACATAAGGAAATCTGCATGAGAGGCATCACCCCAGAGGCACAGTGCCAGAAAGACACAGTGCCTTGGAGGGTTTGTGTACACAGGAATGCAGAGGAAAATTAATTCAAATTATACATGGTGTGTATTAAAAGCAGATTACTTAAAATGCATTCAATCCCAATGTGGATGCTTTCATTAGAGATGTAAGTGGCGTTAATATGATATACTCTAATTTACTTTGGGAGTAAAATGGAATAAATCAAATTTAAAAGTTACTCCAGATTCATATTCCACGCAGACTAGCTCCAGGCCTGCTTCCCTGCTGTCTTTGGTCACCATTTGCTTTAGAACCATGTCACCAGCAAATGATTCCAATGCTCTGTTCAGCTGTGCCCACTCCCTCCTGAGACAGGAGCAGGGACCCTCGCTTACACCTCTCTCCAGCATTCTGCAGGGAGGCACATCCTGCTCCTCACAGCTCGACCCTGGCCAGCACCACACACTGAGAACCTTCTGCTCTGCACCCACAGCAGCGCTCTACCACCAGCACTGTGCTGGAGAATAAAAGCAAATGCTAAACCAGCTAAAGAATAACAAGATGTGAGGAGTGAGAAGAGCAGAGATTTGGGCTCTTCCAAGGCCAGAGAGCTCTCCTTCAGGAGGCCAGAGCCCCTGATCCTCCAGCAATCTGTGAAGGCAGTGATGGCCACACTGAGCACAGCCTGCTCCATCCCAGAGCTGATGGTTACCTGCAAGACCAAGGGAGGGCTTTTAATAAATCCTAGGCCTTCCATTTACTGAATGTTTGAAATAGATAACTGGGGATCGCTCTGTTTCTCATGCTTCTCCAAGTCTGAAAGTGATCCTAGCCAGGACTGCAAAACCACATTCCCTACCTTTCTTAGGGGAGCCAGAGCCTCCTGGGGAATGGAAAGAAAACAGCAGGATTGGAGAGGGAGCCAGAACCTAACAAAGGTCCCTTGAAGTGCAAGATTGACCCAGTATGGCAGAAGCCACTACACATAACAGGACATGTCTGGCCAGGTGCCTGCACGGCCACTACGCTGTTTTGGTATCTCTCTGCCAGGTTTCTGTAAAGTCTTTACACGGCACAAATAGGGGTGAGGATTTAAAGTATATATTTACTGTCAACTTGAAAAAGAAAGTTATACTGACCAAGTCTAATAGCATGTATTTGATATATAACTATTAACGTGCCATTCTGGACTCCAGCAAATTCCACCTGAGATAAATAATCAGCATTTTTGTTCATGCACTGGAAGAAGAATTCAAACATTTTGTCCATGACATATGCAAAGTAACTAATAGTTCTGATCTAGTATTAACAGTAAATATAGAACCTTAAACTTCACTGCAGTATATTAATATATATTATTTTAAGTACTGGACTGGAAAGACAACTCTTTTTTTTCTCTTTAAAAAAAAAACAAAGCTTTGTTCAGAATGCAATATTTACATTGTCCTTTGACCGACGCTTACATTTTTACACAATATATTTTGGCTACAGATACACCGTAGCAAAGGTCTGTGAGAGTCACTTTTACACACAGCTCACTCGTTCACTTACAACATTACAGCTGTTTATGGAGAGCTCTGAAGTCCCCGGTTGCATCTCAAGGCCCTCCTCAGCTTCGTCTAGTTCCATGCTATTGAAGTCATTGCCATTTCGATAACTAGTTAAAGTCAGGTCTTTCCCATATAACGCTGTTGAAGCCACATTCAGACACTGATTCTGCTGCAGTGCTGATTTTTTACCGGGCTTGTATTGGCAGCGGATGTAATTGGAGAAAGCCCTGCGGTAGGTTTTGTTGAAGAGGGTGTACACCAGGGGATTCACGCCGGAGCACACGTACCCCACCCAAACAAACACGTCAAGGAGTTCACTCAGCAGGTCTTTATCGCAGGCTTCCTTGCAAAGGACAGACATGACATTCGTGATGAAAAACGGGCACCACATGATGAGGAACAAAAAGAAGACGATGCCCAGGACCTTGGAGGCTCTTCGCTCGTTGTTGATGGACTGCATCGTTCCTTTCCGGAAAAGCACCGCCTCCTTATTTACAGGGGAGTTCAAGTGGGATGCCCCCTCGTGATTGTGAAGCATTGAGATGTTCTCTGTGTTGTTTTCCTTCTTGAGGCAGTTCACGCTGCTCCTCCTCTGCTTGGGCACCTCTCCACACATGAACACCGTGGCCTGTCTCTGCAGCACCTGGACAGTCAGGCAGTACGTGATCACCATGATGATGAGAGGGATGAAGAAAGCCATGAAGGATCCAATGAGGATGAAGTTCTCGTCGTTAAGGACGCAGGTCCCATTTACAAACACCCGGGAGTCATCCTGCAAACCAATGACCGGAATAGGCATAGATATCCCTAGAAAGATGAAACCAGAAAGGAAACTGTTACCTGGACAGACGGGGCTCCAAAGAGGCAGCAGAGATGATGCAGGTCCTGCATGCATTCAGCCCGCTGCCTAAAGCTATTTGGAAGAGAAGTTGCTGCTTCCAGGTAAAAGGGAAAACATTCAACAACACTCCTGGGAGCACAGCTCCAGGGTATGACATCCTCCTCCAGGAACAGCACCAGCTTCACTGTACTCCACAGCTGACTCAGTGAATGCAGCCTAACTCCTATTTTTCTAGCATTAATTGGAATTTGTGGGTGTGGGAAAGGCAGCCACCACTCTGCTGTGTTCCAGCTGACCACTCCATTCCTGCCAGTTTGGCGTGAGGTTTGAAATCACTGACATAGGGTAGAAAGGAGAAAATCTAAAAGAGAATTTTTTTTTTTAAATATGAAAGCATTACAGCCATGAAGATTCAACAGCAAGATTCTTACAGCAATTAAAATAACCCTGACAGAAAAATAGCCACTTTTGCCAGGGCATCAAAGACACGTGGAAGCAAAGTTCTGGATCTCAGGGCTGTTGTAGACAGTCTCAGTGCAAACAGAAAGTGGTGTCTGCAAGATGTCACTCAAATATTTTTCACGTGTACCAGGATCCAAACTTCATCCCTTGATCTGTGAAGTTCAGTCCCACACCTGGACAGACCCAAAAACTTCCAGAAGCAACGACATATTGGAATTTTGGACATACTGGACATTTTGAAATACTACAACCTGTGTGTACGGGAAAACACGTGGTGGGCCAGATCTAGTTAGAGTACCATGGGTTCAACTAGTCCCATCTTGTGTCTTTGGCAAGTACCACAAGTTTAGGGCCATGGTACAAAATGGGGCAGCTGTAAGCATTATACCTTAGAAAATCCCAAAGCCAGAATTTGCATCCAGATCTTGTTCTTAAAATAACCTTTGAGAGATTTATCTTCATGATAAATCTTACAAATCCTTGATCTCATTCCTAAATCCACAATATTCAGTGGCATTCAGTTCCTCAACCTATCTGTTTTCATCTGAACAAAGTGTTTTTTACTTATTTAAATCTGCTGCCTGATAATTTCCTTTGACTCCTCTCAGTTCATCTACTATGAGAAACAGTGAATAATCACTATCTGGTCACCTTTTCCACCTTCTTAGTGATTTTATAGACCTGTTATCATCTCTCCTGTCTGACATCTCTTTTGGAGCTGTAGAATACCATTCTGTTCACTCTCTCTCATCACACCAAACTCATTCTGTACCTTTGATTATCTTTTTTATTTGTTTTA